CTTCAGTTAGCTTGGATTAGACAGAAGATTGGATTAGTGAGTCAGGAGCCTGTTCTCTTTACTACTACTTTAAGAGAAAACATAGCATATGGGAAGGAAGGTGCCACTGATGCTGAAATTAGGACTGCTATTGAGCTTGCTAATGCTGCCAAATTTATTGATAAGCTTCCAAAGGTAACCCCTTTAAGAGAATGTTCACTGAATGGATATTTCATTTTCTAGAACATTTAAACAGAAGTATCTCCAAGTCTGAATTCGTAGATGAGCTAAAGAAACAATTAGGATTTTCACTTTATGCTGGCATGCATAGGTAAGAGAGAATGCTTTATAACAAGCCAAAGAAGGTACTTAAGTGGATATTTTATTCATTATTTGCAGGGTTTGGACACTATGGTTGGGGAGAGAGGAACCCAACTTTCTGGTGGTCAGAAGCAAAGAATAGCCATTGCACGAGCTATTCTGAAAAACCCGAGAATTCTCCTCCTAGATGAGGCTACTAGTGCCCTTGATGCTGAATCTGAACGCATTGTACAAGATGCACTTGACAGAATTATGTCAAATAGAACTACTGTCATTGTTGCACATCGATTGACTACCATCAAGAATGCTGACACGATAGCAGTCGTTCATCAAGGGAAAATCATTGAGAAAGGTAACACACCAAATGCCCTTGTTACTTGTGTATAGTTTCGTTAAGCTACTAATAAACAAATTTTGGATTCTGTTTTCCTAATTAAAGTTTTACCTCATGAAGGCTATGCATTTATTTAAAATCATCCTAAAATAGTTTAATTGAAAAGACACTGAATTTTCCAACTATATTTTAATTCAGGTTCCCATGAGGAGTTGATCAAAGACCCTGAAGGGGGGTACTCGCAACTCGTGAGACTTCAAGAAGGGGCCAGAGAACAAGAAGCTTCCCTTATGGATCCTAGTAGTCTAGATATGAATCAAAATCTTGAAAGGACAATGAGTAGATCAGCAAGTCAAAGATATTCTATAAGGAGATCAAGAAGTAGAGGTTCCTCCAGTGGAAGGCATTCCATTTCCATCAGCTTTAGTGTCCCTGGTCCTGTAAATATTCAAGAGACTAACGAAGGGGATCGTTACGGTGATGGTAATGACTACGAGAAAACAAAAAAACCTGATGAAGAAGCAAAAAGGGAGAAGAGTAGGAGTGTTTCTATGAGACGTTTGGCTTACTTAAATAAGCCAGAAATTCCAATTTTGCTTCTTGGAAGCCTTGCTGCTTCAGTGCATGGGATTATCTTTCCTATGTTTGGATACCTTATCTCCTCAGTCATCAAAATATTCTATGAATCAGCACATTTGCTTCGCAAGGATTCAAAAAAATGGGCACTTATTTACATGTCATTAGGTGTTGCTAGTTTTATAGCAATACCTTTTCAGAATTTATGTTTCGCGATTGCAGGAGGTAAATTGATTAGAAGGATCCGTTTCATGACCTTTGAAAAGGTTGTTCACCAAGAAATTAAATGGTTTGATGATCCTGCAAATTCGAGGTTTGTTTATTCTATCTCTACTAGTTTGATTACATTTGTTATATTGAAGTATCTCATTTCTGGACCTTTTTTTTTATGATTAGTGGAGCACTGGGCGCAAGGTTGGCAACAGATGCAGCGAATGTTAGGAGCCTTGTAGGGGATCAGTTGGCCTTAGTTATGCAGAACATAGCAACAGTGGTTGCTGGTCTAGTAATTGCTTTCACAGCTAATTGGATTCTAGCTCTCATTATTTTAGCTGTGGCACCCCTTATGTTTTTTCAGGGGTACCTTCAAGCAAAATTCATGAAAGGATTTAGTGCTGATGCTAAGGTTAGTTTCTTTGCAATTTAACACCCCCCCCCCCCCCCACAAAAAAAAAAACTTTTTTTTTTTTATCCTTTAAAATGTGAGTTTCAATCTAAGAAAGCTTAAATTTCATGTATTATTGTAGATAATGTATGAAGACGCAAGCCAGGTTGCAAATGATGCTGTTGGGAGCATCAGAACAGTTGCATCCTTCTGTGCAGAGAAAAAGGTGATGGATTTGTATGAGAAGAAATGTGAGGCTCCTGTAAAACATGGTGTTCGTCTAGGGCTCATTAGTGGTTTAGGATTTGGTTTCTCTTTCCTTGCCCTTTATTGCACAAATGCCTTCTGCTTTTACATCGGGGCAATCCTTATTCATCACGGTAAAGCTACATTTGCAGAAGTGTTCAAGGTAAAATAACAATAATAGTTTTCCTGTCATCACATCACCCTTGTTATCTGTTACTGTATTGCTTTGGTGAGCTTTGGGTCTGATAGGCAGTTTTTTGTTGCAGGTTTTCTTTGCATTAACAATCTCAGCGGTAGGTTTATCCCAAAGCAGCAGTATGGCTATGGACAGGAACAAAGCCAAGGACTCTGCTGTCTCGATCTTCAAGATTATTGATAGTAAGCCTAGCATCGACTCAAGCAGTGAAGCTGGGATAACACAAGAAACTGTCAAGGGTGATATCGAGTTCAGTCATGTTAGCTTCAGATATCCAACTCGGCCAGATATCCAAATATTCAGTGACTTGAGTTTGTTTATTCCATCTACAAAGGTATTATTTATTACACAAAGTCAAATTCTTAGTCTTTCCTAGTTCCTAACTGTAAAGGATGAATTTTCATTGATCATCACAACCTCAATAAACAAGCACCTCCATAATAATTTCCAATATCTCAAAGCAACCCAGTACCCAAGATACCAAAAACAGCCCTGTGATGAACTCAGAACAGTCATCACAGTCAGCAAGCATTGGAAAAAAAAAAACAGAACTTGTAAAATGCCCTATTTGTATAAAGTAACAGTCCACGAATCATGCATGCTTGAACTTTAGCTTTAAACATCTCCTGATAAGATATAAATGCCCTTATAGATGGCTGCTGAGTTTTTAGAAAGAAACAATGTTCTTTTGTTCATCTTCTAGGGAAAAATTAATAAAAAAAGTTAAGAAGTGGTAGTATAAATTAAGGGTGATTTAACATCATATTTACATCTTATTCATTGTTGACATCATGTAGACTGTTGCACTTGTGGGAGAAAGTGGAAGTGGGAAATCGACAGTGATCAGCATGATTGAGAGGTTCTATGAACCAGACAAAGGTCAAGTGTTCCTAGACGGGGTAGAGATTCAGAAGTTCAAATTAAGTTGGCTAAGACAACAGATGGGGTTAGTGAGCCAAGAGCCAATACTCTTCAATGAGAGCATCCGTGCCAACATAGCATACGGAAAGGAAGGAGGTGCCAACGAGAATGAGATCATCGAAGCTGCAAAAGCTGCCAATGCACACAACTTCATCTCAGGATTGCCACAAGGCTATGACACCTCAGTGGGAGAACGAGGGGTGCAGTTGTCAGGGGGCCAGAAACAAAGGATAGCCATTGCACGGGCGATTCTAAAGAATCCTAAGATTCTGTTGCTTGATGAAGCCACTAGTGCTCTGGACGCTGAGTCTGAACGCATCGTGCAAGATGCTTTAGATAGTGTGATGGTGCATCGGACAACTGTAGTTGTCGCTCATCGGTTAGTCACAGTCAAGAATGCTGATATAATAGCTGTAGTCAAGAATGGGGTGATTGCTGAAAAGGGTAAACATGATGAACTCATGAAAATACCTGAAGGTGCTTATGCTTCACTAGTTGCTCTTCATGCTAGTGCTGCTTCAACCTTATAGAGTTAGGATGCTAATCCTGCAAAGTTTTTGTAAACATTAGAAAATATAGAAAATGTTGTGGTGCTTAACCTTGATTCAAATTTTGTCTTTCCTGTAATATTTTTTTTTTCCCACTCTTTAATCCTAATTCCTGATACACATAGACAGAAATTTTCGATTCGGCTTCCATTGGCGTAAAGCTTGGAAATAACAACTTCCTATCCGAATTAGTAAAAGTGCAATCATGAAGCAACAAAAACAACCATCATAGTGGTTATTGTGATTATTTTTAAGAAAATCTTTATAATTGTTATAATTAGTATCATAATGTTTTAGTTAGGTATGGAGAGACCTACAAGAGTTTGTAATGTAGACCGGATTTAGTGTGAAATTTACCAGTTGACATCTACTATAAGTCTATAAGAAAGCTACAAAGTGAAGTACATCATGGCTTTCTATAATTCTATCGACTCTAGTGAGGCTATAAATGACAAATGCACTATTTGATTTTAGTCTCTTAAAATAACGTTTCTCCCCTGCTTGTTTACTGCATTCTGTTTCACGATTTTGTTTCAGTAATAATAAGATAATGAGAAAATAGATTTTCTAGATTTTTTTTTTTTTTTTAGAAGGGAAGATACTAAAGTTAGGTGATCGAATTTCTATATACTATCTCCATTTTCGTGAAAACCCATTTTTTGTGATCGTATTTCTTTATACAATCTCCGTTTTATATTATATTCAATGATTTAAAATAAAATGTGTGTAAAAAATACTTAATCGTTGCAAATAATCTAAATACAGGTAGTATTTAATTATTGACTTAACATATGTGGAGTAGGATAGATTGGGTGAAAAAGTTTATTTTTTAAAGAGGGAAAAGATTGGAAGAATAATTCCGGCAAAGATATCCCTTCATTTAATCAAGACTCTTGCACTGATATCATTGAATATTGAATATTGAATATTTCTTTAAAAAAGATGCTCCGTATTTTGTGAACCTACACCTGGGAGGCTGGGACCCTACGAATCCAAAAAATATGCATGACCTTAATTACAACTATACAAGATCCTACGAATTTTTTTGACAAAAGAAAGATCCTACGAAATTTGAATGACCATAATCTAGCAATCCAAATTCCAGTGAACAAGTCTTTTTGTACAAATCATACCTTAAATAAAATTGATTTTGACACATGGGAGAGCACATTTTTCCATGGAGACGTATTTTAGACCATTTATACTAAAATTATACTATGAAAGTAAACATTGTGACAACCCTAATTGATATATTATATAATAACATTTATTTATCTTATAATAGCAGAAAAATTAAATCAAATATAACATGTAAATAATGTAAAAGTCAAACTGATGCATTAAAAAAAAAAATTGAGGGAGTAGTTGTTAGGGATCAAACCCTTCACCTCGAGGTCACAAGATCAGAGTCATCATACATTTGCAAAACACATACATCGATACTACCTAGCAAACCAGGCAAAATAAAGATGCCAATCTATACACTACCTCCGGTTATTATAACTCGCAACAAATGAGTATTATTTGTGAGACATAAAATATCTCTTTGTTGCGAGTAATAAGAACCGGAGTTAGTAATAAGGCTCTTGATCATAACAAACAAGAGCTGTTGGTAATAAGGCAGCATTCCTTGCCGGAATCCTCTGACGATTCTCAACATAAGCTGTTGGAAACCAACCTGCTTTACCCTTGCATTCTCCTTCAGACCAGCCATCGGGGGTCACCTGTATAGCAATAACATAATGAAAAGAATCAGATTACCCCAGGGCATTAGCTAAAGATAAAAAAAAACACCAAAAAAAGAAGCATTTTGAGAAAAGTCCAGAGACCATTGGTAAAGCAGCATGCCAAACAATAGGTTTGCCCTCGATCATTATTTACAAAAAGAAGGTAGACTCAAGGGTCAGTGTTACTATCATACTATGTTTGCAAAAGAAGATTTGGAGGGAAAGGGAGGGAGGGGATCTCTCTCTCTCACTCTCTTATTTTTTTAAGAAAAATTTAGCATTAAACCACCTTTTTTTTTTGCAAGAAACCACCTTATTAAAATTTTTTCGCAAAAACACACCTTAATCTAAATTTTTTTTGCAAGGCCACACCTTTGGTCGGAAAATAGTTTTCGACCTTGTATTCCGTGGTTGACCCGACCACGTGCCTCACACGTGACACCCTAAAACCACTAACCAATTTTCCGGCGGCCAACCAATTTCCCCCACCCACTGCCAGCCCCTGCCAGCTGCCGGCGCTGGCGACCACCTCCCTACTCCAGTGCCGGCAATCCTGCTCCCTTCCCTTTCCTCTAACCCATGAATTCTCTCTCCTCCTCTTCCACCTAACCACCATCACTTCCTTCACTCACACCACCCGAACCTCGAGATCCACCACCACCCACTTTCCTCCACCCCAACCTCTTAAAACACCGTCTCAACCTTAGTTATCTCATAAACAACCACCACTCAAACTACCTCCATCTACAAAAACCACCGACAACCTCAACAACAACAACAAAAACAACCGACATCCACACATAATTTAAAAAAAAAAACAAAAAACAAAAAACAAAAACCTAAAAATATAGACAAGAATTCTCCCTCTATTTGCAGATTCCAATTCAATTGCACAACCTCAACTTCACCCGATTAATTTTTTGGAGAAAGAATCAGTTTTTTGGGTTACACATTGAGGGTTTTGCTTCAATTGAAAGATTAAGGAAGAAAGAGTACGAATTAAGGGGTAATTCGTGTGGTGTAGCTTGATTCTTCGTTTGTGGGAATTAAATAACAAATTTTGTCACTTACCTTGCTTAATATCGCTGAAAAGAATGGAGCTTGTTGCCTTAAACGGAGATTTATTGAAGGAGAAAGAAGAACAGAGGAGAGAGAGAGTGCAATTGGAGGAGAAAATGGGGAAAAAATGAAAAAGGATGGTATTGAGTGAGCACGTGACTCACACATGGTGGAGTCAACACCGGAATATACGATCAAACCCTTTTTTCTGGCCAAAGGTGTGGCGTTGCAAAAAAAAAAAATTGATTAAGGTGTTTCTTTGCAAAAAAAAAATTAAAAAAATAAAAAAAAATAAAAAAAATAAAAATAAAAATTATAAGGTGGTTTCTTGTAAAAAAATTGGTTATAAAAGGTGGTTTTTTGCAAAATTTCCTTTTTTTTTAATAATCTTTTTCACTCTTTTTTTTTTTTTTTTTTTTAAATAGTCAACATTTACACAGACACACAGTAATTGGACACAGTAGTACAGTACTAAATTACTAATAGCTTTTGAAAGAATACTTTTGCATTGAAAGCGAAGTGCAAGGCCAACAACAGCAAGAAACATAGTAAGAAAAAATAAAATAAACAAACCTTGCGAACAATAACATAGTCGCCAACTGCAAGACTCAGCTCTTTGTCAGTTTCAGCATAGAATGGATGGATTGCCTGAAAGAGAAGATGATCCTTGTAATCTCTAAGTTTCAGTTATGTACAATATAAAGCCCTAAATAAGATTAGGCACTGCAATCACGAGGCACACATCTCCTGAGCTATTCAATTGTTAGACTCTACTTTATCAACAAGTCGAGTAAAACTCAATTCGAAAGGCTCGCTGCTCGCAGGAGTAATAACATTTTTTTTTCTTTTTTTTTTTTTTTGACGGGAGTAATAACATATGGGATATATGGAAATGTTAAGTCAACCTTTTTTTTTTAACATATACGGGAGTAATAACATTTTTTTTTTTCCTTTTTTTTCTTCTTAATATATGGAATATTTGTAAATGTTAAGTCAACCTTTTGGCCATCCACTTTTATTATGTCAACCTTTTGATTATTTTTGGACACGTCATATTAGCATTAAATTTTATTAAGTTTTTTTACTTTGAAATATTGGGATGGAAAAGTTGAGTTGGCATTTAAGGATGCCAACACCATACACTCCAACAGTCCAACTTCCTCACAACCACCGTTCCACCACCCTTCTCCTTTACGGGCTAGCCCCACTAATACCCTCTTAACCAGCCACCTCACTGCGTTCTTCTTACGCATTCACATTTCACCTTTTTCACGTTGCTACCCATGCCCACACTTACTCAAACAACTATCCGCAAAATTCGCTGGCAACCGTATCTCTCACACCTTATCCACAAAATTTCCCTCAACGCTTTGCCCAAAAAAAAGGCACCAAATCCTCAGCCATCCCGCAATCATGCCAATCAAATCACAGCCGCAATTCACAACAAATTTTAACCAGTGATTCGTACACCCGGGTGTACCATGCGGATTAAAGCAGAAATTACATAATATATAATTATAAAGAATATCATAAATTTATAAAAGAATATATATATAAAGAACACAGTAACTTATGAGAAAATGCTTAAAAAAAAAGGTAAAAGATACTAATTGAGTTTTACCAAAAATTTATTGTCAAATCATTTCAAAAAATTCAGATATCAATAATTCCTCTATCTAAAATTACTTTCACAACAAATATAATTCAAAATTTCATTTTTAAATTTCAAAAATTTTAAAATATAAGAACATATTATCCAAGTAAAAAGAGCATAATACCTAATGAACATGATCAATTTATATAACTTAAAGAACATTATTCGTAATATAAAGAACATATAGTTTAGACTGATGAGACTAAAAAAAAAACATATTTATTTCAATTAAAAAGGATAAAAGAACATTTATCAGAATATGAAGAACATCATCTTCAACATTAGAAAATAACACCAAAACAGAAAAATAGATTAAATTGAAAATACATTTTCTCTAGACAACGAATTTGTTAATTACATCTTAAAGATTCAAAGGAATGATAAAATCAACTTCTTAATGACATTAAATCACTTCGAAATTCAAAATTTAACATGGTTTCTCTCTATATAAACACAATTTCTCTCTCTGAACAAAAAAATGAAATTTTTTGTTTACCAAAAGTAATATAAAATGTAAATAATAGATCAATAACGTGTTTTTTACAGGTCACTTTTTTTAACGTAACAATTAACGCTATTACATGGTTGACGTGTTCAGAATTAATTAAAAGGTTGACATAATAACAGCAGATGGCCAAAAGATAGACTTATTGTTTACAAATTTTCCTTTTTGTATATACATATATCTACAGTATTTTGAGAAATGATAAACTTGGTAAAATATAACCCTCGTCTTGTGCATATAATTTGAATAAAACAAACAAGAATAAAAACCTCAGCAAAGCCAACTTACACTGAAACATCTTCAATCTAGATGCACAAATTTTTTTTGTAGGTTTGAATTTGTAAACTTAAATATATGAAGCCAAATAAATCAATAGCAAATCCTCAAACACGTGTTCATAAAGAACTTAGAGCACAACAGGGAACAAGTGGTACCAGACTACCAGTGTCCATATCCTATTGAAGAATAATAATAATTTTTTTTTTTTTTTTTTAAAAACACCTTAGGGAAAACCAGTAAGTTAATCTAATGTTTGTATAAATATGAACTTTTAAAGTGTGTGTGTGTGTGTGTATTTTGGAATGCACTTTCCTTCATCCATACAGTTCATACCCCCCTGCACATATCCATATTAGTGATACCTAAAGTATATATATGTAGTAGTTGTATATTTTATCAATTTGTGGTACTGATTATATATAAATTAAGTTTAAATATAAGGCTTCGAGATCAAAGAACAAACCTCCCCCCCCCCCCTCTCCCTATCTTTCATCTCTACTTGTCTGCTCCCACTCACTGCCACAACCAACTTTAGAAGTTATTACTATCAGGCTATCAGCAGTTGTATCTGTGTGAGGTAATCAAAGCTGATTGGACAGATTTTAGCTCCCCTATATCTGTGAAATACCAATTCAGCAATCAAGGATAAGAGTGACTGAATATTAACAGATCAACAAGTAAAATTAGAACATCACCCACTCGACTAAAAGATTATGTTGGAAGTCTTTGTCTATATAATGCTTTCATGAACTACAAATTTTTAAGGCTCTCTTCACATTAATTTGTAATCTGAATGGCCCACTCTAATTTAGAAATATACGCAACTCTACTAATTCAGGTTTTTAAGACAGGCAAAAAATCAGTCCTAATTTAAGCCTATATAATTCTCATTCCATAGAAAGTTGACTTACCCTGTAACAGCACTCCACTTCACAAAACTCTAACAGAGAAACTCCAGCCCAGGAACGCAAGCAGTTATAGATCATTCAAAACTTTAAACATAAATAGAATGTAATAGATAGATAATGATTTCACATACTTCAGCTAAGCAGTACAATTTTTTCCCTGAGTTGTTCTCTATTGAGAGGACAGGAGGAGCTGCTTCTTTCTGCTGCTTCTCAGACACCATCTGAAACAGAGGAAAGGCCAACGTATACATATTTTGTTGGAGGATAAAATCAAATTTCCAATTCTAGAGATCGTAACTGCAGGTATACCTCAGCTTCAACCTCATTAAGAATAGTTGCTATTCTAACATGGTAATTCTTTTCCGCTTCAACCTTCAAGAGACGCATTAGATTGTTAGTCTGAGGAACTAGAGCCACCAAATTTGTTCTATGGTGTACCAGCATTATTTAATAGGATTACACATAATCTTATATACCAGTGCTACAAGCCTCTGAAATGTCAGTCTTTGCTGCTGTGATTCAACAGCAGATAAAGCACCAGCTGCTTCTTTGCCTAACACTGCCATGTTAGCTTTCAACTCTTGCATTCTAGCTTCTGCTGCTTGTAACTTTGCTGAATTTTCATGAGTTGAAGCCTCCCTAACACGTGCCCGCCTTCGATTAACCTCAACTGCCTGTTTTGCTTTAATGAAAATTCAATTTAAATAATGAGATAATATAACAGTAACGGTCACAGACTACAAAAGACTCGCTTTGACACTTTAATCATCTTATTTCTAAATCATCAAATGGCTATATTATTAATGATTGACCTTGATATAGAGGAGTAAGAAAACTGTAGTAAGGAAATTGGATGATAGCTGCAACATGGGGTTTTTTTAAACAAATGGAGATGGTATATAACAAGTACAGAGCCACTATATTATGCAGGGATAGTCACATACCTGTGTTTCTGCTTCCTGTCTCATACGACTATAACGTTGTGCAAGATGGCGAGCATCCTCTAGAGGAGTGCCAGTACTCATTTGCCTCAAGGGATCCAATATCTGGAAAGAAAAACACTCAAGTTAATAAGCCTTTAAAATTCAAGAGAAAGTGGAGAATGGATAAAAAGTTTCATAGATAAGGCTTTGGGACAGAGGTAGATGCTCAATAGCAAGAAGTATAATAAGCCGAAAAGTACAGAGCTTGAAGAAGTTGATTATGAAAGTGAACTAATACATATCAAAAAATATATGGCCCAAACCTGAACCCCCACAGAGGCACAGACCAGCCAAGAATGGGCAGTTCAAGGATTAAAGCGAGATGGGTTACCTGGCTCAACCCAAAAAACCAAAACCAGTTTTATATAACTGACTATCCAGAAATTTTGACAGGGAAAAAAAAATTATAAAAAGTAAAATAAAAAAAAAATGAAAAGAAAAGGATAATGCATGGGTCAAAACTGGAGCAGCCTAGTACTGGTCCAGTCCTGGTTCAAGGGGGCTCTGCTCTCCTGAACTGATTAATACTTGACAGTGGCTGGACCTGAACCACGCCATTCAAGATCCACCCTGGCCATGCCAGCCTCCCCTGTATAATTCATACATATCAGCAGCACTAGGCTGACTCATGTATTTTCAATATGCAAGGGTTCAAACTCATCCCAGAAAACAAATGTCGTCTGAACTGGTAACAATTTAAGATCATGCATGTGTACAGTTTAACACATAGATTTCAAAAACACAAATACTTCAGATTTACTATATTTTACTAGTGTTCCCACACACTAATAGTTGCCATCCAAAATTTGCAACTGCTCCAACCCTTGCTAAGTTAAGTTCCCAAATTCTAACAAACACGAGATGTCCCTTCATACTCCATTATTTATCATGTTCAGGAAAAAGAAAAGATTAGGTCACACTATTCCTTGTACAGTTGCCAATCACTATGTCATGGATCTAAGTAACCCACACACCAATCCGGGGTCAAGCCTCAACTTGGGTCAAACCCGGCCTGGTCAACCACCTTTAGTGGTGTACATGAGGCACAAAGGGAGGAGCAAGCATTGGCAGCAACAAGCAACAGCAGCAGGGGGCATTTCTTAGCAACAAGACAAACTCCATTAAGGAGAAGAGAAGGAAAGGAAGGCAGCTAGTTTCATTGTGTTCTATTTATGTTTTTCTAAATTAGCCAAGTATCACATGTTAGCCTTAAGGTCAGCTTGACCATTTTAGTATAAGTATGGTAGTTTGAGTAGTGGGAAGATTTTGCAGAAATTGAGTGAACCTCTTGAGAGACTTGTAGCCTCAAGCTACTAGAGAGATTTGTAGCCTAAAGCTACTGAGAGATTCATAACCTCAAGTTATGACTATCCTTATGTTATCCAACCTTTAATCAATCAAATGTTCAAGCTTTTAGCCTTAAATTAATATTAAACGTGCTTAATTAAATCAGTATAATTCAGTCTATAACACACTATTTAATTTTGTGGCGTTTTATATGCTGTTTGCATGTAAACAGAAAATTGATACTATTCATAATTATCTAAAAAACAGGAAATTTTGACAGAAAAGAGAAGACCAAGGGAGCAATTCTTACAAATCTTAACAGTTAGACAATCATCAGTTACACAAGACAGAATTCTGGCACATATAATTAATATATTATTCAAAAACAAGCTGAAAAATTAAATCTTCGTGGGGAAGGAAATTTAAACAGTGAACCTCTTATCTTATACTTCGTAATGGAGTTCGTATAATACATCCACTGTTACTATTCATACTCTCCTTTGATCATCTTTTATGATGTGTACACAAGGAAAAATAGTCATATAGAATCTTATTAGATTTGTCCTAATTTACATACAAAAAAATCGATTTTTTTTTATAAAATTATACTTAAAAGATATTAATTGTGTAAGTTGTGCACTGGCAAAAAGAGAGAGTAGATATCATTGCGACTGAATGTGCATGCTGGGGGACCAAATCTTCTATACTGTTACAAGGGACTCAAAGTAAAAACAACAAAGGATAAAAGACAATCCAATAACATACAGTTATGAGGGACTTAAATATCGAGAAGAGCTATAGTATACAAATTAGAAGATTAGATGCTTGCTTTCATTGCTTCTAGAAGTACCAAATGTATAAACAAGAAATTAAGCCACCTGAGATAATAGCAGTTTATTCAAATCCTCCTGCTCCTTCTCTACATGTTTTCGAGCATCGCCATAAATTGATGCAGCCTTAGCCAAAATGTTGTCTTCAATATTCTCAGCTCCATATTTGCAACACTCCTCGGACAATTTAGTGCCTGGCATTGAGAAGGTTTTAAAAAAATTATAAGAACAGCATTTCATTTGATTGTTTTCATATTACAGAGAAGCTAATCTAAATATACATTAGACATATGCTGACATACACTTCCCATCTCAAAAGCACAACATGTAGCATGCCTTTATCCTCCATATCAAACACTAGCATGCTATTAGGGGCCGTTTGGTTGGACCTTTTGTAATGGAATTTATTCCATCCAATTCATTGTTTAGTTAGACTTTTTAGGTATGGAACCTCATACCATGAAGATTTTAACTCTACCCCATCCCCTTAGACTCCCATACCCACCCCACCCACGAAGATTCATAATCTGTTTCATTAATTAATTAATGTTGAAACCATTCCAACAAATAAACCAAACAACTCTAAAATAGTATGGGATTTAGAATTCATGCCTCCCTAGTATGAGAATCCATACCAATCCAATCCAGTTTAATGAACCAAACATCCCCCTTAGTCTAGGTAGAATCTAAATTCATATGTACATAAGACACATTAGAAGATCTAGAGTTCTATGATAATTATTATAGGGAAGGGCCTATGTATATATATAACACGCAAGATGCGCTAAAGCAAGAGGGGTTATGCTGCACCAGGTGTGCCTCTTTGAATGCGGCTTGCGTAGAGCAAAAAAGAAAAATACTCTACCCTAATCACCTAGCGCCTCTACACGTAGGCACACTTTTTATACTATGGAAGTGACTACTATTAGAGGAAGCAAAGCCTATATATCTAAGCTAAGAAACCAAAGATGCAATGCTGTAGTGAGAATATAATAATGATCTCTATGAATAACTAAGAACATTCACGTAACAATGATTATCTTGCATATGTTAAAAAGTGATAAACTCGACATTTACTACAAATAGCTAATTAAATCTTATTCATGAATAATGAAATTAGGAATGCTATTATTGTGAGAGAAAGAGAGAATGTTAAGGAGAAACATTCATTTATTAGCATACACAATATTATATAAACGCAATATGTACTCATTTTGTATAAGAAGAAAGAAATAGAAAAAGTAAAACACACATAATATAAGAGATATAAGAGTTATTGTTTAGTGCATTTGTTTTCCTCTCTATATTACTGTCTCAAATTTATTTGTGTGTCCACCACGCTTCCAACAAAGTGGTACTAGAGACACGCTATATATAAAACATGGCAACAAAAAATAATGTCATAGCTTTTCAATACCCAAAACTCACAAAAGAAAATTATGATAAGTGGTCTCTACGAATGAAAATTATTCTTAGCACATAAGGACTTTGGGAGATTGTTGAAAAAGGTTTTATACAACCAGAAGATGACTCAACATATAAACAAGGTTTGGAAACCGAGAGGAAAAAGGATCAAAATGCACTTACGGTCATCCATCAATTTGGATGATGATATGTTTGAGAAAGTTGCTAACGCAACTAACTCCAAACAAGCATGGAATACTCTTCAAAATTTGTTTGAAGGAGTAAGTAGAGTAAAGAAGGTTCGACTTCAAACTCTAAGAGGAGAGTTTGAACACCTTAAGATGCTGATAAAGAATCCATCTCTATCCATCTCTACCATCTCTATCTCTGATTATTTTGGAAGAGTTTTATACATTGTGAATCAAATGAAGAGGCTTGGTGAGTCAATGCTAGATTCTCGTGTAGTTGAAAAAATACCATGCTCTCTTAATTCCGATTTCAACCACGTAGTGGTTGCTATCAAAGAGGCCAATAACGACTTGGATTCCATGACGATTGATGAATTAAATGGGTCTCTTAGAGCCTATGAACAAAGAATAGTTAAAAAAAGGTAAAAAGGAAGATGAGCAACAAGTGTTGCAAGCTAAATCTTTTTAAATAATAAAGGAGACACACGTGATAAACAAAGATTTCAATCACGTGGTAGAGGTGGTTCACGGGGACGCGAACGTGGCAATGGACGTGGCCAAGGAAGAGGGAGAGAAGACCAAAACACCAATAATTATGTTAGAGGTGAAACTTCTACTAGAGGCCGAGGAAGAGGTAGAGGAACGAACCAGTTTCAAAGAAACAGTAACAAAGCTAATATTCAATGTTACAATTGTGATTAATATGGCCATTTTGCATGGGAATGTTATTTTAAAAAGGTGCAAGAAGAAACAAATCTTATTGAAGATAAAGAAGATGCTAAAGATTCAACCATGCTATTAGCTCTAAAAATAGAAGACAAGTAAGATGAAAATTGCACATTGTATCTTGACAATGGAGCAAGTAATCATATGACAGGAGACATAAATAAATTTGTTGATCAAGATACCGTGTCAGGGAATGTTACTTTTGGCGATGGCTCAAAAGTAAAGATTGAAGAGAAAGGTACGATAATGATTGAAATAAAGGATTCTAGTCACAAATTAATTCCGGATGTTTATCATATTCCTAACTTAAGAAGTAATATGTTAAGCGTGGGTTAACTCTTAGAGGTCAATGGATGTTAAATAATAAAGGAGGGACAAAAGTTGTGGCTACGTGATAGATACTCTAAGCTTATAGCCATAGTCTCTATGACAAAAAACAGAATGTTCTTGATAAACTTACAAACAATGGGACCTATGTGTTTGAAGACGTGTATTGAAGATCCATCTTGGAAGTGGCATATGAGATTTGGTACCTTAATTTTGAAGGACTAAAGGAACTAAGTCACAAGAAAATGGTACAAGGATAACCCCATGTTGATCATCCAAATCAACTTTGTGAAGCATGTTTGCTGGGCAAACATTCAAGGAAGCCTTTTCCAAAACAAACTAATTCAAAAGCTCAAAAGCCACTTGAGTTAGTGCATTTAGATTTATGTGGACCTATCAAACCCACATCACTCGGTAACAGTTCATACTTAATGCTTTCCATTGATGATTATGGCTGGAAGACATGGGCTTATTTCTTAAAATATAAATCTGAAGCTTTTGACAGAAGTTCAAAGCATTAGTAGAGAAAGAAAGTGGTTATGAAATAAAAGCATTAAGGACCGATAGAGGTAGTGAATTCACATCTAAAGAATTCAACAAATATTGTGAAGAACAAAGAATTCGACGACCGCTTACTGTTCCTAGAACACCACAACAAAATGGGGTTGCCGAAAGGAAGAATAGAACCATTCTCAACATGGCAAGATCCATGCTGAAAAATAAGAAGATGCCAAAAGAATTTTGGCAGAATCACTTGCATGAGCAGTTTATTTGTCTAATCGTTCACCAACAAAGAGTTTGAAGAACGTGACACCTCAAGAAGCTTGGAGTGGATGGAAGACAAGTGTATCACATTTTCGAGTATTTGGTTCAGTTGCTTATGCACAAGTTCCTTAGCAACTAAGGTATAAACTTGATGATTCGAGTGAAAAACTTCTTTTCATTGTATATGAAGAAATGTCTAAGGGTTATAAGTTGTTTAATCCAAACACCAACAAGTCAGTAATTAGGAGAGACGTAGAGTTTGATGAAGAGGAAAAATGGGATTGGAGCATAGAAGAGGAAGAATCTTACAACTTTCTTCCTTATTTTGAAGAAGAAAATTCAACACATGTTTCAGAGACTCCCACTACTCCACCATCATCTCCTCAAATGTTATCACCTTCATTACATTCAAATGGAGATTCATCTAATTCAAGTGAAAGACCAAAGAAATATAGAAGTATTTCCGATCTTTATGAAACGACATAAAGGTTTGAAGATAATACTTCTTTATTTTGCTTATTCAGTGATATTGAACCAATGAGCTTTAATGAAGCAACGAAACAAAAGGAATGGATTCATGCCATGAATGAAGAAATACAAGCCATTCAAAAGAATGAAACATGGGAATTGACACCACTCCCATAAGGAAAGAAGGCGATAGGAGTCAAATGGGTATTCAAAATCAAGAGGAATGCTAATGGTGATGGTGAAAGATACAAAGCAAGAGTGGTTGCTAAAGGTTATAAGCAAAAGCAGGGAATAGACTATGAAGAGGTATTTGCCCCAATTGCCCAATTAGAGACACAGACAGGAGTTTGCTAATCTCAATAACAACACAATTTCAGTGGAAGATACATCAAATGGATGTAAAATCTGCTTTTCTAAAAAAAAGAAGTGTACGTTGAACAACCAGAAGGTTATGCTGTGAAGGGACAAGAGAATAAAGTACTTAGAATAATGTACTCACCACACATGGACTATTAAGTCGTTTGATGGAAAATCAATCTACTTCTCATCTGAAAGTGGCAAAGAGAATTCTCCGATACTTAAAAGGTACATTAGACCATTGGTTGTTATACTCTACTTCACATGATTTCAAGCTTATGGGATATTGTGATAGTGATTTTGTTGGAGATATTAACGATCGTAAAAGTATAACAGGCTTTGTGTTTCTACTCGGAAACAATGTTGTTTCATGGAGTTCAAAGAAACAACCAATTGTTACACTATCTACATGTGAATCAGAATACATTGCTACTACTTCGTGTGCATGTCATTCGATATGGTTAAGGAGATTATTGAAGGAACTCCAATTGCCACAAAAGGAACCCACCGAGATCATGACTGACAGTCAGCTCTTGGTTTGGCGAAAAATCCTGTCTTTCATGACCGAAGCAAACATATTAACACGAGGTTTCATTTCATCCGACAATGCATCAAATAGAAAGAAATCGAATAGAAGTTCGTAAAGTCTTTGGATCAAATTGCTAATATCTTTACGAAGCCATTGAAATTTGAAGATTTTAATAGGATGCAAAAGTTAATTAGTATTGCGAGAAAGTCAAGTTTAAGGGGAAGTGTAAAAAAGTGATAAACTTGACATTTACTACAAATAGTTAATTAAATCTTACTCATGAATAATGAAATTATGAATGCTATTATTATAAGAGAAAGAGAGAATGTTAAGGAGAAACATTCATTTATTAGCATACACAATATTATATAAACGCAATATGTACTCATTTTGTATTAAGAAGAAAGAAATAGAAAAAGTAAGACACACATTTTATAAGAGATATAAGAGTTATTGTTTAGTGCATTTGTTTTCCTCTCTATATTACTATCTCAAATATATTTGTGTGTCCACCACGCTTCCAACAGCATAATGCTCCATGCCTCCAAGCCTATTATCAGGTTTTTGACTAGCCCTTTACCCTAAGACAATTTAAATGTACGCCTTCCCACTTCAGCATTTATTCATTACTTCACCGGATTCAAATATACTTCGTTTCACAACTATAAAATCAACATCTCAATGGCTCTTTCTCTAATCTTTTTACTTATATATCTCCTCTCAGCCTCTCTTCATCTTATTTCAATGACTCTCTTTTACTGATGTACCCCTCTCCAGCTCGTAGCTAAATTAGATCAAGGGAAAGCCTTCATTAGTATGTCCTTTCAAAGTTTCAAAAACTGAACAATGGTTACTTTGATGAAATAAAAAAGAGTTTGGGAGAATAAGAGCTCAAAAGATGGTGGTGATTCGAACAAGTATGTGAGGTTTTGCCATCCAATTCCAAAGGTAGGTATATCAAGTTAGGTTTTGCATAGAGAGGCAACTCAGTGATGATTATCGCTCGAGGTAGGCAAAAAGATGTGATGCAAAAGCAAGAAAAAAAAAAAACATATGCTCTTAGTTCCAAACACCTACTCCAAAGACGTGTCAACTTCTTAATGCAATAAAAGATACGCCCCATCTCAAATTACTTTGTTGGCCGGTGAGTTTGTAAGTAACTAGTATAACTTCTCCATAAAACAGCTATCTAAACAAAGGCTTTATCCTTATTTTGTAACATTAGATTTACAAATGCATGTGGCCTTAAAATAATGAGATAAATTAAAAAAAATCTCTTTACGTGATTATAGAGAGATGCATAGGCAAACTCCTTATACAAGACTACAAGTTCTAATCTTGGAACTTACAGTACTATTTTAGACTTTCACTTAAAAACCTTCCTATATAAGAATGATTTCTACAAGGATTTAACCTTGAAAACTCATTCTTCCTATAAGGGCTTCATATGCTTATAATTCACTTGGATTTTCAAGGTAAACAACATCCCACAATGAGAGGAAGACCTCCCCTTGGGAAAAGGAAATCAATCAACCTTTAAATACAACTTGCATACATCAAAACAGTGGTAGAGCCTACAAGTATTATGGTGTTAAATAGAAGTGTGATACATCTCATATGCATTGACCTGATAGAGGAAGACAATTTATTGGGATCCAAGGCATGTTAAATACATGCAAAATCACCTAAAATAAAGAATGCAAATACATATATCTGATTTAGAAACACGCAAATCTCCTTTACCTGCTTCAATCTTTCTGTAGCCAAGAGTTGCAAATACTTCAGCAGCTTTGACAAGCTCTTTCTGGAAATCCTGAAAATGCCATTTGTAATAAAAGGTCATTTAAATGTATCATGCAAATAAGAAATAATAAAATCAAGGTCACAATCATACCAAAAAGAAAGAAAAAAAATTGTCTTAATGCCAAGAAACCTACTCATCTTTCCCTTATTCTCCTTGAGTACACGAGTCAAAGTATAAAAAAAATTTAGAGCCAAATATCATACAATAATCTAAAATCAAAGAGCAACATAATGTAGGGAACACACAACATGAAAAGATATGCAGAAGTGAAAGGTGACATAAGAATAAAGCAAATATCCACAACATTTATGATCAACATGAATTAACTAGCTAACAAAATTTCACAAATACAAATGGAAATGCTAAGTAATACTTGAAACCGATCCTGAAAAGCTTTTTTTTGTTTCTGAACTAATTTATAACACTTATTTCCTCCGTTTCCTTTTAGTTGACACGTTCAATTTAGGCAAACACTTTAAGGAGAGGAGAGAGGATGCTAAAGAAAGTGGGTAGACCATGCGCTTAGCATATTTAATCAAGTTTGTAGTGGGGTCAGCTAATAATAAACTTCCCAAAAAGGAATACGCGTCAACTAAAAAAATTTCCCAAAAAGGCATATGTGTCCACTAAAAAAACGGAGGTAGTATATAATAACATGTGTTGGACACCTACACTTGCCACATACCCTCATGGCCTCATTCGTTATGCACTTGCCATGAAGCACCATCACACCCATCATGCACTTGCCCCACAAGAAAGCTTGAACTTATAACCTTATGTTTGAGACTATAACCATTATTCCAAGGAATTACTTTTAACTTCTCTTCCACAAAAATAAATTATTAAGTCAATATTTCTCAAAGATAGAAGATGGAAAGAAAAGGAGGATAATGAGACCAACTACACGATGTTCATACTCACCTCTGCCTAACTCCAATACTTCAAATCCCAAATCTTCCTCCCAAAATCTACACCCCGAGTTAATGACCATCAATAATCCAACCGCAATGCCTCATATTTAACGCTTTTCAATAATTTAGCATAGTTTGATTCAAGTGAAGGATTTATACTCGGGCCCATGAACTAGTGATTCACCAAGTACACAAGACAAGCTTTGTTATTAGCTAGCTAATTGCCATCACATCTCTACTTGCCCATCTTTTTTTTTTTGGTTTACTCCCCAATTTTAATAACAAGGTAAGTGAACCAAACAATATAAGCCCCCTCCCCAGCTTTCTCCTCCCTCAGGTATTTGAACTTACATCTCCCTGTTGAAAAGCTGAAGGTAAAAAAAAATAACCTTTTGACTTCTTTGCATCAAATCCCATTCGACCACCTTTCACGTTCTTTAATTATTACAATTTGTCACCCATCAGAAACGTAAGTTATCAGAAAATAGAAATTAAAAGCTAATTATACTATTTTGTACAGCAATTTAAGGTAATCATAATGCCAGCATAGGAGACCATATATGGTTTTGTAGATCAGGAATCATATAAATCACTAAGTGTTCATCAGCAACCAATAATAAAATTGTACCCGTATTTATTAAAGAGCATACAATAAACACACTGACATGAAGAGATGGAAATAAGAAAAAAGCTATATTACCCTTCCTGAACGAGTTGATTTGTACAACTTGTCAAGTTGTTGATGTCTCTGCAATTCAACTTCGTCAATGACCATTATATCTGAGCTCTCATAGCCAGGTCCACTGATGTGCTTTATTACAGCCTGAAAAAACCCGATTGACAGGGATTTCCTATGTTATTTAAATACTATAGAAGATACACAGAAAACACCCACAAAATGAACAAATAAGACTTATAAATCTTCGAACATGAACTAAGCTTTAGAACACCATTCAAGATCCAGAATATCAAATATCAATAGCAGTGAATACTAACATTTTACTAATTAGAACTCATAGTGATCACGTTCATCCATGACCCAAAAAGCTCAGTTGATGATATTATTATATTCGATGTATATCTAAAAGACTACAACTTGATTGCCAAATATCTAAGTGTCCCTAGGGCTGTCATTCTGTCAAGGGACGACAAATGATACCAGTAGGCAACAAACAGTGAAGAATGCTCTATGCCTCTACCATTAATGTGTGATCTAATGTATACAAAAAGATTTGATAAGAACTTAATCAAATTCTCACCTGAATAATTGATTAGAGAAAAACACAATTTATGACGCTAATGTGGCTAATCAATCTCAAGTTTGACAAACTAGCTCAAATTTACAACACTATAATTTACAACTCTATAAAACCAGCCACACATAATCAAGGAAGCTATAACCCACACTAAATATTCCCATACTACACTCTCCCCCAACAAATTGTGCTTCGTACCCAAACGGAACTGATTTACTGAATTATTCTGATTTACTGAATTATTTATGAGAGAAGGAAATTAGGAACGGAACTGAAGTGAAATGAAGCTGAAGAGAACACGTCAACCAGCTAAGTATTCCCATACTATGTCAAATGAAGAATTCATCTTCACCCAAAAGTTTTTCCCGAGGGCTAAAAGTTTGAACACTATCAAATTATGGATTTGTCCAATTTGATATTCTCAAATTGGGTATTATGGGATTCGATATACTCGAAACAAGTATCATTTCATTTTTCATAGTATAGTAAAAATGTGCAGTGGGAACTCCAACATACTCAATTTTCGCAATTAGAACCCAAAAGAGTTACAGTGCCATTTTGATATATATGGAATAATTAGCACAAGGGTTTAATAAAATTAACATTCCAAATCTAACACAACCTTTATTTATCACCTTATATTACAAAATTCGAGCCTATAAATTATACTTTTCTATATCTATATATATATAAAAATTGATTTCAAATTACATATATTCAAATAAAAACACATATAACCCAATTTATCACCTAAAATTGCTGAGGTAATTTGGCAACTCAAAAAGTATCAAATAAACATTATAATCACAGAAATACACTAATTTTTTTACAATGCCATGAATTTTACGGGATAAATTGAAAATAAAAGAAAAAAAAATTGAAAAGCATGAATTTTGAAATACCTGTTGCTGCTTTGCAACTTGATCTCGTAATTTACTGGCTTGTCTTCTGAAAGAATCCATTGCTTTTCAATTAATTTGAAATGAGAAAAAGATTGAGCAGATGATGAGATTTGATATTCTGGGTAATTCAAAGGAGAGCAAAGAATGAAACACAATTACACAAGTGAAGTCATATCTCAATATGACAGCCAACTTCAAGTTATGCAAATTTTTGGGTCTCAAAGATGGCACTGACCGGGTCCAGACTGGAAAAATGGATCGGTCCAATCACCGAGTCGAGAAAATTATAGACTTGTTTGGTTGCCTAATAAATTCATAGAAGTTTATTTTCCTAGGAAATAGATTTCTATATACTTGTTTGGTTGACAATTATGTAGGAAGTGGGACTTCTTAGGAACTTTTACTTCCCACAAAATGGAGGAATTAACTTACCTAGTCCCCCTCAAGTAAGTTAAACTTCCCATGGAAAGTAGAAATTCCTACATTCAACCAAACAAATTTTGACAATTTCTAGGAATTACAATTTCATGGGCATTGAGTTTTCATGGAAATTTCTACTTCCTCCATTTAACCAAACAAGCTCTTTATTTCCGGTCTTCGATCCGATATGGTCCAAAACCCTCTAAAACCGGTATTGGACCAAACTATTGCTTATTATTATGCACAAAAACTATGGATTATTTTTAATAAGTTAGAAAAACTTTAATTTTATAAGCTTTATCTTTTTGTATTGGACTTACAAAAATGTTCTAAAATGGGTTCGGGTTTTGTATCGATTTTTCCGGTAGAGTATGAGTCTTACCTAGCTTAACCAATCCGATCGTTAGTTCTTGAAATTAAATTTTTTAGTCATCGATCCGGTCTTGAACCGGTGAACAGCCCTAATAACAATTCAGGTTTCAAAGATATAGCTAGAGATGTTATCAATGGATTCAATTCAATTCAGGTGGAGCTTCATCCACATCAATCTATCATTTCAATAACTCCATCCACACATTCATTCGTCACCCACTTCATCCTTTACCCGTATTCGTTCGTTCGTTCGTTATCCATGGATGAAACAGATGGATCTGGTGACTATTGGATGAATATTGAATGTGAAAAAATCCATATAAACTCTAATTTATAGTTAATTCAACAATTAATTTTTTTATTTAATTATTAACTAATAAAAAGGAAACAATAACAAGATGAAATATAAGGTTATATCCTTTGTTAATATTTTTTGTTTATAAAAGGGTACAATGGTCTCTTTAATCTGTTTAGCCAGGCTAGTAAAATAAATTCACTACCAAGAACAATACTACCTCACTAGATACTAAATAGTGTCGTTAACTCCGTCAGCATACATCTCCATTTTCACTTCTTCTTCACTCAAAATTGAAACCATTAATGGAGAAATTGACTGTTGCAATGGACAAATCAAAGGTGATTACAAATCTCTACCCTTTAGGGTTAACCATGCCCTTTATTTTACCCTTTATTCTTAAAATTTCGTTTATTTTGGCTGAAATTTTTCCATGGAGGCGGATGCACGATGCTCCATGCATAGGAATGAATATATAGTTGTTCAGTAAAGAACATATAACTAATTTATAAAGAACATCACATATAGTTGTTTTGTAATGAGCATATAATTATTTTGTAAAGAGAATATAGCTATTTTGTATAAAAAAAAAACATCCGCTTTATGTTATTTATATGTACAAGCTAAGAGACACACGCACATTATGTGCAATATTAGAAACCTATATGGCTTGATTCTTCATTTTTTCTGAAAAATTATCTACGTTATTCAAATAAAAAAATAATAATTATTGGGTTTTAAAAATTGGTGAAGTATGGAGGTTAATAGTAGGATATTACTTCCAAAAAGAAGAGGTTTTTTTTTAAGGTGGTAGTTTTTTTTTTTTTTTTTTTTTTTTTACAGTAAATGAAAATAAAAGATGAGAGGGATATTTTGGAAAAGTAAAATTTATCACCTAAAACCCTCTTTTACTTTATACTAGTTTTTGGGTCCGAGTGATGCCCCAAATTATTACATGAAATTAACTGATCATTAATATACATTGTAATTTATGATTTAATTTTCTTTGAATGAATATGTGTTTTTTTAAAAAAATAATTAAATCATGTGGTTTATACTTATATATATTTTTCCTTTTCATATTTAAAACATGTTTGATAATTAGCTTAGATGGCTAAATAGTTAATTTTGCAGTAAATGGTTTGGGGTTCAGATCCTCTTGTCTTCATATTTTTTATATTTAGTGATGGTGTGGCATGTTGTGATTGTTGTTGGGTAGGTGACGTGGCATCATCAAGTGTTTGTGAACTGACGTGGCATCATGAATTGTTAGTGAAATGACGTGGCGGAATTTGAAAGAAAGTACGTGGCGCATGGACGTTTTTATAAACGCTTTAATATATTAGTATAGATATTAACAAGTTAAGAGTCACATGCTACGTGTGTAGCTAATAAGAAATTAATTATTTTAATTTACTCATAAGTTTATAATTTTTTCTCATTAAATTTTATAATAACTTGGTTTTGAAAGAATCTCCATAAATTTTCACAATCATACACCATAACCAAAACTCAATAAATCTTTTTTTTTAAAAGTAAAAACCTTGAGGAGACAATAGAGAGAGCGAGACAAAGGGCAGCAAAGAATTCCTCTTAATTAACCAAATGAGCAATTAAACTACTCGGTTGTATTATGAATTACACACTAATACTCAAAATCTTCAACAATTCATGCTCGCCGATTATTTATAAAATGTCATATTGCCACGGCATATGGAAGTTATGCAGTCATGAATGTCAGCAAAATTGGAGCACCTTTGAACTGAGAGAATTTAAATAGAGAAATAAGATGAAGTGATAAATGAATTGAAACTATAAAAGTAGATTAGAATATATATCCAACACAATAGATAATAGTATAGAATATTTTCAAATGTATATCAAGTAATAATGATTTAGAGAGTGTGGGATAGCTTAATTGGTTCGAGCTCCCCTCCCGATCACCTGGGATCGATTCTCATCACCCGCCCTTGTGGCTTTCTAAACACCAAAAAAAAAAGTAATAATGATCAAATTTATTTAATTACTATCAACATAATTTAATACAAAAAAAATTAAAGTACCTTAATTAGCGATGAGTATGTGACATTGATGATGAAAATTGGATTCTTGTATTTGTATTACATTCTTCATTTGAAGATTACTTGCAGAGGAGTTGTGGTAATTTTAGAGGCATAGAGGTTTTTTTTTGTTTTTTTTTTTTTGTAAGAATGGTAATTGGAACAGTTGTCGACTGGTGGTAACTGATAAGTGAGAAATATTAATAAGATTATGTAGAAGTTTTCTGTAAAAAAAAAATAGATGTAATTACGCAATTTAAGAGGGGTAGTTTTGTAAAGTGAAATTTATCACCCAAAACCCCCTTTCTCTTTATATATTACTATAGATCTAAAGAACCTCCGAAATTTTAATAAAGAACATGGTAATATAATGTAATGAACATTATTTTTATTCAACCACCATAATCTAAAGACAAAATTCAAAGAACATTTCAAAATAAACAATTCGCATTATGTCATAAATAAAAGTACATTATACTTACAATCAAAGAACATTATTTAACAGCATGTTGTGTTCTTTACAATTCTATAACATATTCATTTCACTTTCACTAAATGTCCTTTACATTTCTATACAATGTTCTTTCTACATTTTTTTTTGATTTGGAATGGATGCACCATGAGGATCATGCATCCGCCTGCAGTAACCACGCGTTGTATTTTGGCGGCAAAGCCGTCGGAAAGTGGTGGCAGTGACCATGATTGTGCATCTTTAATGGTGGACGAAAGCTTGGGCATCTTCAATGGAGGACGGAAATTTGGGCATTTCACTTCACGTTAACAACTTATTTGTCGCCGTTGCTAATAATTAAATTTTAGCTTTGGGCCACCACGTCCACATCAGAATTGGGGGTGATATAAACATCCTATGTTTATATAGGATATTAATTGGGACAAGCTCTAATAACAACATATCGTTTGAAACAACATATCTATTTAAATCCCCTTGAAAAAAACAGTTACAATAATTAAATGAACTTGGCCCTGATACCGCTGTTGGTTTTGTGATATCCGACATCACGCAGAACAAAACCCATCCCATGACCCGCACTCAAAATAAAACAACTAAAACATGCATATTAAATAACAACATAATTAATTAACAAGACAGAGAATGATGGATTTACCCTTGACACGTGCTTAGCTCAACTTGAGCTCTTACTTCAAAGCTTACAGAGCTTCGCACTCGCGATAGCCTTCGACGGCTCACATTCTCAAGATTGACCAGTACAACCCCTACCCCAGAGTTTAGCCGGGGCTAGACCAAAATACGTAGAGAATCAAGAGCGAAAGTGTTCACACACTTATGATGATCCCTTCAAGCTCACAACTCAAAGTGATTTTCCCAATTCCCAATGATGGGTATTTATAGGCAAATCCCCTCAAGAATTCCAATCTCCCATCAATGTGGGAGAGTTGGTAAAATGTCTTTTTCTAATTTAATTTTAAATCAAAAATCAAATCAAAAAGCAAAACAATCAGCAAATGTCACATTGTGACTAAGGGAGTAGGCGAGGACCACAAGGAGGACCACATGGCCTCCTTGCTCCCCAAGCCTTCCCATATAAAACTGACACCCACACTTGTGGCAAATAGCATAACACCAGCTGGCGTGGGATGCCTTGGATGCCAAGGCTACCTGCCTAGCGGCCTGGCCCCTTGGCTGAGCCTGCCAGCTAGTCGCACACATCGGCAGCTTGCGCTAGCACACCACGCATTATTGCGGGCTGATGGGTGCAGCTGCCTTTGCACATGTGCGCGAGCCCCGCAAGAAATTGATGTTAGCCTCGCTGTGATGGTGCAGGCTGTGCGAGCTAACACACCTAGTGTCACGGGATATAGTGACTATGATGCCTAGCCATTGCTAGCAGCTGCTAGCGAGGCACAACACGCATTGCTTGCGGCTTGCATTTCTAGCACTATTAGCTTGTGAGCTCGGCCAGAAAGCACCAGCCAACACCCTCATGGGCTGTTGGTTTTGCGGCTATGGCTAGCTACCACATATAGCCTAGCTCTAGGCTAACCCAAGGCTAGGTGTACTGTAACACCCTACAAATTCTT